CATAATTTCTCTTAATTGTCTCAATATAACTGCAATTCAATAACACATAGGGTCTTTTTGTCACCAAAGTAGAGTCACTTTCATGACTCTAACAATAATAGTAGACCCCCTTCCGAACCATGCATTTTATCATCACACATATTTTGGTTTCCTCAGTTTCTCAGTTTCTACTGAATAGTCAGTACTAAATGGGTCATACCCTGCTCAATAAATATTGAATTGATAAGAGGTTTGAATATTTAGAAACTATTCAGATGAGTCTTTAATTTGATATATTATGCGCTAAATTTGGATAACTGTAAACCCGCTGCCGAACCATTTATTTTATCATCATACACAATTCAATTGCCTATTCAAAAAATTGCTTAACCATTGTAATATGCCGATCAATTTGTATTATTCGGAACCATTGTAATATGTCAAACCACTGTTATTATCTTTAAAAATTTGATAACTGTAGACCCTTGACCGAACCATTCATTTTACCATTACACACATTTCTATTACCTATTCAAAAAATTCCTAAACCATTGTGATATGCCGATCAATTTGTTTTATTTGGAACCATTGTAATATGCCAAACCATTGTTATTATCTTTAAAAAATCCACATTTAAATTACTATAGCCTATTCCAAAAATATGTTGAACAATGTTTAATTTTTATTATCACACACATTTCGGTTTCCACTATTTCTCGATTTTTACTGAATAATCAGTAGTAAATTGGTCATAACTTGCTCAATAAAAATCCAATTGAAGAGCGGTTTGAATCTTTGGAAACTAGACAAACGGGGCTTTAATTTGATATATCATACGCTAAATTTGAATAACTATATAACCGCTGCCAAACCATTCATTTAATCATCACACAAAATTTAGTTTCCCCTACTTCTCGATTTTCACTGAACAGTCAGTAGTAAATTGGCCATAACTTGCTCAATAAAACTCTAATTGATGAGCGATTTGAATCTTTAGAAACTAGATAGACAGGGCTTTAATTTGAAATATTATAAGATGAATTTGGATAATGGTAGACCCCCTTCCGGACCATTCATTTTATCATCACACACATTTTGATTTCCCCTGTCTCAGTTTCCACTAAACAATCAGTAATAAATGGGTCATACCTTGCTCAATAAATATCCAATTCATGAGCAGTTTGAATATTTGAAAACTAGACAGATAGTTCTTTAATTTGATATATTATACGCTAAATTTGGATAACTGTTGACTTGCTACCGAGCCATTCATTTTATCATCACACACAGTTCTATTGCCTATTCAAAAAATTGTTGAACCATTGTAATATGCCGATCAATTTGTATTATTCAAAACCATTGTATTATGCCGAACCATTGTTATTATTTTAAAAAAAAAAATCCACATTTAAATTACTATTGCATATTCCAAAAATATGTTGAGCAATGTTTAGTTTTTATTATCACTCACATCTCGGTTTCCCATGTTTCTCGGTTTCAAATAAATAATCAGTAGAAAATTGGTCATAACTGGCTCAATAAAAATCCAATTACTGAACAGTTTGAATCTTTAGAAACTAGATAGACAAGAGGCTTTAATTTGGTTTATTATACGCTGAATTTGAATAACTTTAGACCCACTGCTGAACCGTTCATTTTATCACCACACACATTTTGGTTTCCCCTGTTTCTCGGTTTGCACTTAACAATCAGTAAATTAGTCATAACTTACTCAATAAACCTCCAATTGGTGAGTGGTTTGAATATTTGGAAACTAGACATATAGGGCCTTAATTTGATATATTATATGATGAATTTGGATAACTGTAGACCCCCTACCAAAACATTCATTTTATCATCACACGTTTTGATTTCCCCTATTTCTCAGTTTCTACTAAACAATCAATAATAAATGGATCATACCTTGCTCAATAAATATCTAATTGATGAGGGATTTAAATATTTGGAAACTAAACAGAAAGGTCTTTAATTTGATATATTGTAAGCTAAATTTGGATAATTGTAGACCTGCTTTCGAACTATTCATTTTATCATCACACACATTTATATTGCCTATTCAAAAAATTGTCGAACCATTGTAATATGTCGATCAATTTGTATTATTCAGAACCATTGTAATATGTCAAGCCATTGTTATTATCTTTTAAAAATCCACCATTTAATGTATTATTGTCTTTTCAAAAAATATGTTAAACAATGTTTAATATTTATTATCACACACATTTCGATTTCTCTTGTTTCTCGGTTTCCATTAAATAGTCAATAGTAAATTTTTCATAACTTGCTCAATAAAAATCTAATTGATGAGCTGTTTAAATCTTTGTAAACTAGACAGACAGGGCCCTAATTTGATATATTATATGCTAAATTTAGATAATTGTATACCCACTTCCAAACTATTCATTTTATCATCATATACATTTCGGTTTCTCCTATTTTTCGATTTCCATTAAACAGTTAGTAGTAAATTGGCCATAACATGTTCAATAAAAATCCAACTGATGAGCAGTTTGAATATTTGGAAACTAGACAGACAAGGCTTTAAGTTATATATTATATGATGAATTTGGATAAGTGTACACCTGCTACCAAACCATTCATTTTATCATCACACACATTTTAGTTTCCCCTATTTCTTGGTTTCCACTAAAGAGTCAATAATAAATGGGTCATACCTTGCTCAATAAATATCCAATTGATGAGATGTTTGAATATTTGGAAACTAGACAGAAAGGTCTTTTGTTTGATACATTATATGCTAACTTTGGATTACTGTAGGCCCACTGCCAAACCATTCATTTTATCATCAAACACATTTTGGTTTCCCCTATTTTTTGGTTTCCACTAAATAGTCAGTAGTAAATTGACCATAACTTCTTCAATAAAAATCTAATTCATAAGCGGTTTGAGCCTTTGGAAACTAAACAGACAGGGCTTTAATTTAATATATTATATGCTAAATTTGGATAACTGGAGACCCACTGTCAAACCATTCATTTTATCATCATACACATTTCAGTTTCCCCTTTTTCTCGGTTTCCACTGAACAATCAGTAGTAAATTGGTCATAACTTGCTTAATAAAAACCTAATTGATGAGCAGCTTGAATCTTTGGAAACTAGACAAACAAGGATTTGTTTTGATAGATTATATGATGAATTTGGATAACTGTAGACTCCTTGGAAAACCGTGCATTTTATCATCATATACATTTTGGCTTCTCCTGTTTCTCAGTTTCCACTGAATAGTTAGTAATAAATGGACCATACTTTGCTCAATAAATATCTAATTGATGAGGGGTTTGAATATTTGGAAACTAGACAGACATGTCTTTAATTTGATATATTATATGCTAAATTTGGATAATTATAGACCAGCTGTCGAACTATTCATTTTATCATCATACATATTTCTATTGCCTATTCAAAAATTGCTAAACCATTGTAATATGCCGATCAATTTGTATTATTCGGAACAATTGTAATATGCCGAACCATTGTTATTATCTTTAAAAAAATCCACCATTTAAATTACTATTGCCTATTCCAAAAATATGTTGAACAATGTTTAATTTTTATTACCACACACATTTCGGTTTCCCCTGTTTCTGAATTTCCTCTGAACAGTCAGTAGTAAATTGGTCATAACTTGCTCAATAAAAATCTTATTGATGAGCGGTTTGAATCTTTGAAAACTAGATAGACAGAGATTTAATTTGATATATTATACACTGAATTTGGATAAATGTAAACCCACTGCCGAACCATTCATTTTATCATCACACACATTTTGGTTTCCCCTGTTTCTCGATTTCCACTGAATATTCAATAGTAAATTGGTCATAATTTGTTCAATAAAAATCCAATTGATGAGCAGTTTTTAGAAACTAGACAGACATGACTTTAATTTGATATATTATATGATAAATTTTGATTACTATAGACCCTCTACCAAGCTATTCATTTTATCATCACACAGATTTTAGCTTCCCCTGTTTTTGGGTTTCCACTGAACATTCAATAATAAATGGGTCGTACCTTGCTCAATAAATATCCAATTGATGAGAGGTTTAAATATTTGGAAACTAGACAGACATGTCTTGAATTTGATGTATTATACGCTAACTTTGGATAATTGCAGACCCGTTGCCAAACCATTTGTTTTATCATCATACACATTTCGGTTTCCCTTGTTCCTCGGTTTCCACTGAATAGTCAGTAGTAAATTGGCCATAACTTACTTAATAAAAATCTAATTGATGAGTGGTTTGAATCATTGGAAACTAGACAGATAGGGGTTTGATTTGATATATTATACACTGATTTTGATAATTGTAGACCCTTCCAATTATGGTCTAACCACACTTAAAAGAAATGATAAGTTATTTAAAACAATGTATGAAACGACATTATTTTAATACGTTAGACATTTTGACAATAAAAAACAACTCCACACAATAAAAATGGATAATTAAACTAAATACTATGACAAATATTTTCTAATCTATTATTTTAGTCAATCTTAGGATATTATTTATATTGTACATATTTTGTAATTTATAACTAATATAATTAGGAGATTCAGTAGATAAATTTTGACCTATAGAATATATGTACCACTATAGTATATATCAACCAATTAAAAATCCAATTATTCAAACAAACGTGGTGTCAAAACCAATTTCATAAGCTACTCGCATACGGCGTGGGCCTTTACACTAGTTCCAAGATGTTATTGAGCCTAGTATGTGTGCTTCTCACATGCAGTATATTAATGTTGAGTCAGCAGTTAGTTTTTGAATTAGTTTGCTCAGTTCCTGTTAAGTACCTTTAGTTAAGTTTCTGTATATAGGGTAAGTTGAAATTCAACCAAAAATAGAATTTTCTGGTTACTTTTATTTTCTTTAATTTCTACAATTAAAAAAAAAAAGCGCAAAATTTATAAAAAAAAGTGTTTGCCAAAATTAGACACATATACAGTATATTATGCATCAGATTAAAAAAAAAATAACATATTTATGTAAATTACCCAACTCCCTTCTGTTAACTTTATACAAAATAATTTTATAACCTGCCGCAAGCTCTTATAAAAAAGAGCCAAATTAAAATTTTTATATACATTATCATACATTATTATTATTATTATTATTATTGTAACTCTCTCTGTCAAACCAAAAGGGAGGAAAAATTTCGGACCAAAACTTGTCTAACTCCAACGAGAAATTTAATTAGGTGACAATCACAATTGGAGCTGCTGATAAGTGTAAGCGATTTTCATGGAGTCCCGGAGATATCAAATTGTTCAATGATTCATCAACAGAACGCTGCTTCAAAGAGTATGACCATTTCATTTCCATGAAACTTCTCTTTCTCCAAGGTCCCATATGGATTTTCTTCTCCTTCAAGGATTTCTTGGCAGCTTCACAAAGAATTCGAACAATGGTGCTCAGGTACTTAGGTTTTCCTATGTAGAATTCTGGTAATTGTGCCACGAGTTTTCCGTACTCGTCACAAGCTTTAGCTATCTCAAACTGGTCTCGGAACTCCAATTCGACTACTAATGGCAGTTGCTTCGTGCGTCCGGAGGCGATTGTTAATATTTCAATGTACTCATGTCTCCCTGGAAAATTTGACAGAGGCAAAGCAAACTAAGATTCAAGAAAATTAAATCATCTAAAAGCTAGCCAAAATTAATATAGAAACAATGTGATTGACTTCTCCAAAGATTTGATTAAAATACATACAAATTCTAGTTGTTTAGTTTTTTGTTGTAGAGATAAATTTATGATCATCGTCAATATTTTACGGATGTTTTCCTAACGAATAATTTTGGAAAAGTGATGTCTACCTATATTCTAGTTAAATTTATGAAATTAAGGTGAATATAAACCAATTCTAACTGTTTTAAATTTCATCATAAACCTCGTTTAACATGATAAAAATCATCATAAACCTTTCTGAAATTGGTCTAAAGTTTTATTAATTAAGTTCGTTAAAATTCATCTAAATCAGAAAATAAGAGAAAATATTTTATGTAGAAATTGTTTCTACTGGGTACGACCTAGTTTATTATTAAATCAAGTATCTTAACTCTCACATTCAAATTTTTTATCTTTTATGATAAATAAAAAAGAAGATAAAATGTTGCATTCCAGAGTTAAATTTATGAAAATTAAGATGAATATAAATACTCGTTTTAAACTTCATCATAAACCTCATTTAACATTATAAAAATCGTCATAAACCTTTCTAAAGTTGGTCTAAAAGTTTTATAAGTTCTTTACAAATGCTCTACATTAGAAAATAACTAAGAGAAAATATTTTGTGTGGAATTAGTCTCTTCTGGGGACAACTTGAATTTTTTTAAATCCTTATAAATCTTAACTTTCACATGCAAAATAATTATCATTTATTACTAAAAACATATTAAGAAATAAAATAAAATATTGCATGTCAAAGTTAACTCGTGTTAGCGAAAAGCCGAGAACTTAGGTCTAAATTTTATATTGACATCAAATAACTTTTGTTTTAATGCAAGCAAATGTTTATGCATGAAGTTACGGAGGGTGGCAAAAATATGTTACCTCCAGGATACTTTTTGGTGCGTTTCCACTGGGATGTACAGAGAGAGGCATTGAATCCCTTATCACGAAGCAAATTCACTACTAATCTTCTCAAACAGTGAGTGCACCCGCCATTAGAGCTTGGCTTCGAGCAGCGGCAAAACTCTCTTTCTCTTGAAAGCTCAACGATTCTCATAACCTCTTGTCGCAGCTTTTGACCTGTTAAGCTATTGCGCTCCAGAATTTCCTGGGAAATTTTACAAACATTAATGCATTTCTTTGATGAGTTTTTCATGTTCTTATTTCTATTTAGATGAAAATTTTCACTGAATAAAATTAAAATGAAACAAGTTCAGTACTGACTTCCCTAACCTAAAATCGAAATTATTAAGTTTGATTTGCTTTTATTTCTTTAGGCAATGTGGTCCAAAATCCTAGTAAATAATCCATGATACTTTTCACGAGGCGTTTGGTTAGAGATTATTCCCCATTACTGAAGTAATGTCATTTTATATTTACTTAGATTACCATGTTTGATTGTCAAATAATATAAGATTCCGATAATTTTCTAAAACCAATAGTAATTAATGTTGATCATATAGGCGATAATCTGAATACCATTATTTTCTTAGGTATTTTAAGATTACTAGGTAATCTTGGGTGTGTTTGGTTCATTATTTTGGATTGGATTTTGGGAATAATTTTTGGTAGTTGGATAAGAGAGTATTACGAGGTAAAATTTAAAATTTTATTTAAAAAAAAAAAAAACCCAAGGTTTGCTAATTTAATTAAACACCCAAATATGTAAAATGACAAAATACCCCCACCACCCCGCAGTGCCAGATTCCGACCACCACCGCCAGAATCTGGACGAAAAATTTCGTTACGACACAGATCTATGTCGTAACGCATCGCTATGGCCTTTTCCGGCCAGATCTATGCCCAAATGTCATCGTCGACAGTCGCAAAGGTCTATCTTTGGCCATCAGCGACGGCCAAAGATATGGCCATCGTTTTCGGTCAACGATGGCCAAGTTTTGGCCATCGTTGACCATCAACGACGGCCCTTTCTAGCATTTTCCGGCCAGATCCATTGTGGATCTGGCTGGAAAAGGCTAGATCGGTAAATAAATGATCAGTTTTAGGCTTGGTTTAAGCGGTTGTGATAGATTCCAGCTACCACCGACGGTGGTTGCCAGAATCTGGCAAGTATGGGTGGGTGGGGGTGTTTTTGCTAATTTTTAAACTTTTTTCTGGGGGTATTTAGTGAAATTAATAAACTTAAGGGGTCTACAAGTAATTAAAAAAATTCACTAATATTTCTGGAATAATGTGCCAAACAATATTTGGGGAATAGGATTGGGAATATGGGTAGAAATACTGAACCAAACGCACCCCTTAATTTTGCTACAATTTTACCCTTAACTATAAAAAAAATTAGACAATAATGCCCTTGTTTTGAAAACAATTTACAAAAATATTCATGGATTTTTTTATCTTTAAATACAAAATTTTAAGGATATAAATACCTTTGAACTTAAAAACAATTACTTAAGACTGGTGCCTGGATTTGACCACCATTGCCATTGTCAGAAGGGCGCATGACCGATTGGCGGTGGTGGCCGGCTACTGGCAATGGCTCGAGTGGCAGGGTCTTTTTATTAATTTTTAAACTTTTATTATGAGGGTGCTTTAGCTAAATTCTCAAATATAAGGGGTTAATAAATAATCTAAATAATAATAATAATAATAGAAAAGCAATTCATTAAGCTATATAACATACTCACCAATTTATTCCTCCCAACAAAACATATCAATATAACATACCCACTAATTTATTCCTCCAAACAAAACATATCAATATAACATACCTACCAATTTATTCCAATCTAACCAAAAATATTTAATATAATATTCTCAGTAATACAATATTCTCTAAACTAAACGCAAAGGTAGAGTTAATAATAATAATCCTTTACACTTACCAAAAAAAAAGCAATAATCCCTTACATAACACAGTTGTAGGATGTAGGATGTTTATGAAATAACAAAATATCTCTATTACTATAGAGTATTAACTGTAGAAAGAAAATTAAGTTAATATTATTAAGGTTAAGGAATAGTAATCTTTCTAGTTTCTCATTGGGTAACAAAAATCTCTTGAAACTAGTTTTAAGAGTGTAATAACATTAATGGAACTTTTTTATTTCTAAAACTTGAGGGATTAATACATTAACTCCTCTGTACTAAGATTTAATTATTGATTGAATTATATTTATCATTCCTTAAATATGAAATAATTTTTAAATTTTATCATCTAATTATTGGGATTTCTAAATTTCAGGACAATTTAATAATCTCAAATATCTTCATTTGAGAGGCTATAAATGGATATGTGAACTGTCCTTTTGAGACCTCAACTGTCGTTTTAAGGCCTCACGCGTGGCAGAATCGAAAGAATATGCCGAAATGAGATTTTGCCCAAATGAATATGGACCATAAATTTGATACAAATTGCTACTTTCTTTTACATAAAATATCTCACTTCAACTATACACGCATCCTTGTAATTTTGGCTTTTAAACATGCTAAAAAATACTAGAGACAAGACATCAATTTTTGGGTCCTATGACACCACTAAGTACTAACTATAATTTCTCTTTTTGAAAAATGAAAAATGTTATTTAATTGGTGCATTTATCTTAGAGTATATACCAGAACTAGCAAATAACGATCAAGAATATACCCAATTCAAAATTGAATATGCAGAACTAATAAAGAGGCAAAACATTTGATTTAAATCTCTTCCAAAGATTTATGAAATAATTCAAAATTTTTGTTTCCTATGGGAAGCAGTTTAAACAATTACATAATAGAGCTCCTCAAATTTTAATAATTAAAATGATAATTTTAATATATGAAAAATCACAATCGAGTATGATGCGGCACCCTTAAATCAAATTAGTTAGCAATAATTAAAATACAGAACATGATAAAGTAATTAAATTATTGATATAGCCCTTTCATTTCCCATGTGATATGGTGATCATTTTTTAGAAAAACAATAATAATAATATGCAACAAAAGAAGTTGTTATTGAAGATAGACTGATGGAGATAAATTTTACCGTATCGAGTTCTTAAAAAAGAATTAAACAAGTAAAAATTATTATTAATATCTTTTTGTTAAACCTCAAAAATTCGAGAAAAATAAACAAACACAAACCTGAAGCAAGGCCTCTTGAGTTTCCCAGTAGATAATTTTCTCCTCTAAATCACCATTTTCGGATCCAAAATCATCACCACCGTCACCAGCACGACAAGCCTCATCGATATCTTGAACGTAAAACACAGAAATCTTCTCTTCAAGGTTATCCTGCAACTCCATGTAGTTATCATAATTCTTTCCAAGAGCCCTAATATTCCTATTATCTTCATGAAGTTTCCCCATCTTGCTCTTCATCTTCTTCTTCTTTAATTTCAAGAAAGATATATGGACATGTGCCGATCGCAGAAAGCGAGACAATAAGCAAGAACTGAATAGAGCAAGAGAAAGGAAAACAACATGAAGATTTTGGGGTTTGGAAATGAAGCAAAAGAGCTCGACAAGAGAATATGGTTTATGAATAATGTATATATAAATAAAATTTTAAGGGTTTTTTTCATTTTCTCCCAGTAAGATCATTTAGTATTAAAAACACCCTTATCATAAGGTTTTCATAATTTTGTATGGGGGTTTTTGATATTTTTAAGAGTGATTTTGATAATTATAAAGGTTTTTTAAATACTTTCGGAATGAAATTAATGAGTTTAATACTAAAAGATCTTACAGAAGAAAATATGAAATAAACCCAAAATTTTAAAATAATTTGTTAGTAGATATTTGTTGGATTTTTGGACAATTATGGAGAAACCTAAAAAACTTTTAGTAGGAGATTTAAGCCAAGTTAAAATTACTAATTTAGTTGGGTGCTGAGTCGATGCCAGCCTAGACATTATTGTTGAGCTGTTACAACTTTTTTATTAAACCAGTGGAAAATTTTGCTTTTCAAAGATATTTTTTATAGTGTCACTGTTGTAACTTAATATTATTGGGGTGGGATTTTTGTAATGTGTTATTTCGGTAAATTTTAATTTTTGATTGGCTAGAAGTTAGTGTCAGAATTGAGAGAAGAGCTTTGATACCATGTTAGAATTGAGAGAGAGTAAGAGAGGCAATTTGAAGAAAGCGGAGTATAACCGATAGATATCTTTGAGAGGGCAAGAGAGACAACTGAATGGTTAGAGTATGCAAGAGAAATATCTTTAAACAAATTCAATTGTATCGTATTAAGTTGTTGTGAATTGTATTGAGTGTACACAACCTATTTATACAAATGTATGATAACTATGTAAAGATACAAAATATTATAATAATAATGTAATCTCCACTATAAAGGATATAGAATAATATCGAAAATACAATAGGAATAAGAATAATGTCACATATTCCCATGTCAACAATTAGTTTTCAGCCTAATTATCAAATCTTATTAGTCATATTTTATGAGTAATGCAAAGTAAATGAAGTTAGAATCCTCAATGACCACCCCTATTAGCAACACGGTTAGATTAAACTCATGATCTCTTGAGTAATATACCCAAGAGTCCTAGTTGACCGCAGGACCACCTAATGGTGGTTGTTAGTATCCTAATTTTGAATCCTGAATAATGTAACGATTATGTATTATCATCGTATTAATTATTAAATAAAAAATGTAATGTCACTTTACAAAATTCTACAATTGATATAGGTTGTCGACACATTACTAAACACATTAGTAGAAATTCCAACTTTGTATATTTAATATTACTAATATTTTATTTAGCATTTTAAACTTTACTTGAACGTCTTTCACGTAATAGAAGGTTAATTTCTTATTTTCTCTTTAATCAATTTCTGATTATTAATCACATGTAATTTAATTAAATTTGTTGTAGGGTTGGAATAAGGAGATAAGGTTTAGTGTAGTGGGGTTTAATGATGTTGATCATGATAATGTGGTGGGGATTAGGATGGTCAACACGCTCCATTTTGATTGGATTATCAATTATCATGAGTCAATCAATGTTATAATAAGAGCTTTATGTCACTATAAGGAATCTTAATTTGAAAAAGAGAACGTAAAATCTCTCCACAGTCATAGTGGTGGAACTAACTAATTTTATTATTATAAGGAGGTTATAACTTAATAGAAGTGTAGTTAAAAAAATTTCTTATTTTATCATTCATGTTTCAGTAGTACAATATTAGGATTTCAATTCATGTTTTAATAATATTAGGGTTTCAATTCAACGTTTCAATTACCTACTTTTGAAATGGATAGAAGATCGTATTTTGAAACCAATAAAGATAACTGTCTTTGATGGAATTATAAATACAATTGCTGCATGACAACTGATGTGAAGTCACAGACAATTGTCAATTGTTTTAAGCATTACAAAATTAGGACCCTCGATGTCGATGAATTGCAAGTTACAAATGAAGTGGATGAGGAGAATCAAAAAGTCATTGTAAAATTGAGTGATCAAATTTGACAACTTCACTACATTAATCGAATGAATATTAATGTCTTTATTAATTATCTAAATAAGTAATAAGTCATGTATGTTTTAACAAAAGAAGAAATCATTTCTATAATTAAACAAGAAGAGAAAAGAAATAATTATGAGGATGATAGTACGGAAATACAAAAAGTTTCATGTCAAGAAACTATAAACATGCTTGAGAAACTAGAAATGTTTTGGCTTTAACAAGAAAATGTCCACACTAGCGAATAATGTACTTGTAAGTTAAAAGATGTAATAACAACTCTAAAGTATAAATTATTGTTCCAAACAACTTCAGAAAAATATTTTATTTCATCCTAAACATTTAATGTAACATACCATATATATTTTTTGTAATATACAGATAATTATTATTATATGGAGGCAACTTTCCTTAAGACGGGAATTAGAAAAATTATAACTTATTACAATGTAGAGTTTATTCTTATTTATAACTATCCCAAATTGAGAATATAATTTTTTATGACTATGTAGAGTTTGTTCCTATACAGAATATCATTATAGAGAGGTTTTACTGTATATTGTATCATTTATATACATTATTGTCTTAAAATGTTATTAAATACATAATATTTATTTTTGAAAAATAATTAATTTTAACATAAATCAATATATTTATGTTATGTATGAATTTTTTTATTCATCTACTTTAACAATTAATGTCATTTAATTTTTCATTAAATATCTGTATAAATTACTTTATTCTACTATAAATGTGATCTACTAAATAGGGTCAAATGGTGAAGGTAAAAAGGTAGTGGGGCTGAGCCAACATTTGAATATAATTTGTCATTTTATAATTTAGTGGACTTTAGTGAGGGCTACTTTTTGGCCCACTCTTCTTTTGAAAATAATAATAATAATAATAATAATAATAATAATTGTGATTTTTAGGATATACTTTTTTCTGTCAATAACCCTCTTTTAATTTGAGTGGTGTTAAATCTCTTTCTGAGCCTGATAATTTAAATTATTTTAAAAATTCAAGTTATAAATATTTCATTCCAAAATTGCCCTTTCTCTATATTTTTTTCCGTTTAAACAGGGTTAAACTAAATTTTTTAAATCAGACACTAAGCAAGAACAATTCATGGGAATATCTATTATAATTCTATTTCCATTGGTTGATTCCATCGTCCATCTCTTCAAAAAAAAAAAAAAAAAAAAAAAAAAAAAAATCAATCATAGAAACATAATTTCAAAAAAAATAAAAAATAAAGAGTTTAGGGAATTGAGAAAAATAGTTCTGTATTATATGGGGTGTACCAAGAGCATAAATGCCCTGTTTGGTAATTAAAAATTTAAAAGAAATATACTTTTAAAAAAATTATTATTAGAGCATAGAAAAAAATTTATTAGGGCTTAAGTAACAACACTCTTTAATTTAAGAGTAATGCTACAGCCACCGACGGTAGTGCACCGAATTTGTGCACCGAATGACGTGGCAAAATCCTGACCGTTTATTAATATTTAGTTAAAATTAATCAACAGTCAGGATTTTGCCACATCATTCGGTGCACAAATTCGGTGCACTACCGTCGGTGGCTGTATTATTTTCCTTAATTTAATGTTATTTTTAACAAGTTTAGCCTTAAATAAAATTGTTACAAAGAACATTACAAATTCTAAATATGCTTATACTTTATTTTATTTTAATTTTAAGTATTTACTTCTTATATAAATCTTGACTCTAAGTTTTTATAATCACTGAAAACTTTATTTTATCTCAAATAGTTTTTATTTGATAAGTATGTATTACTAAAACTAAGTAGAAAGAAGGAAAAAAAGTCCAATAGGATGAATTTAAGAAAGAAACTAAGTGGTTGTTTGTCTAAGCTTATAAGCTAGTCAAATTAGCTTATAAGCTCTAAAATTAAGCTGACATGTTTGTTTATAACTTTTTTGAGCTTATATTACCACATTATATTTGTTTAACTTTAAAATTTCATAGTATACCCTTGTTTAATGTAGTACCCAAATAAAATAGATGCCCATCCATAAAAAGACAGGAAAGAAAGACAAGCTTCAACTTTGCCAATCTCCGTCTTTGACTCAGACTATTACTCCTCCGAGGACATAGATATTAATAATCACACGTTGACAGAAAATTCAGAAGTTAATGACAGGAAGCAGAACTCGGTGTCTACAACCGACAAAAATGAAGCTTCACACTCTGATGAAAACCTGGAAGCATTCAGCAAAACACAGACATCGGATAAGGACGTGGGGGGCCATATATCTGGATTAAAGCTTGAGCTTGAAGCCTTGTGTAGCCAAAAAACAGATTTGGAATCGCAATGTGTGAAGAAAACAACTGAAGCTAAGCAGTTAGAGAAGGAGAATAAAGGACTGCAAGGCCAGATTTCGAAACTTGAATTGATATCAAAAGAGAGTAAAAATGAGATGAGTGATCTGCAAAAAAAACTGAAGGACAATGAGAAAAATTTAACATCTAAAATCGAGGACTTAAAGGCACAGGTTAGCTATCTGCAATCGGAGCTAGATTCTTCACGTGCTTAAGAAAACAAAGCAACAGGTCTCGTCAAAGGCCTAACGGATCAGATCAATATAATGCAACGGGATTTAGATTTGCTACTAGAGGGGAAAAACAAAGAAATTTCTGAATACCAGATTCAGGTGAATGTCGAATCGGTCGTCACGACTACAAAATTAAACCTAAATACCGTAGTTAGCGGTAAGCAGGGTCGAATCCATAGAGAGCAAGACTAATGACCTAATGTATATTTGAGTTAACAAAAGAGAAATTGGCAAAATGATTGATTAAAACTAAGGAAACTAATTAATTGCAGGAAATTAAAAACATCAAATAAATTGCTAACTAAAACACAATATTAAAAGCGTTGCCGCTACGGGTTCGGTTTGACTCAAGACCAACTCTCACAATTCCTCTCCTCGCTCTTCATTTTCCTAAACCTACAAGGCTAGGCAAATCAATAAAAATCTCTCCCAGCAATCTAGGTTAATCTATCCTGTCTCCTCGTCGTCTTAGTTAC